AATAAATTTCTACATAACGTTTCAATCTTATTGCTTTGTTAACAGGTATTTAAACAAATACCTAATAGTGCATTTTTGTCTAATAAATTTATGGGCAATGCTCTGAACTTTAGGACAAAATTTAGGATGACCCTGTATTAAGTTGTCTTAGGCATCCAGTTTACTGTAATTGCTGTTGCCTAAGGAGCAACACTTTTAACCTGTACCCACAGATGTCCAGGGTTACTTCAGAGAACAGAGGACATGCTGAATGAGAACACAGGACATATGAACCATTCTTAAGTTCATATTTAATGGGGTAGGGAAGAGCTATAGAGGTATCCAGATGGAAGAGAATGGTAAGAAGTTCCACAACTGTATAAATATTAGTTTTGTTAGTCTAGCTTTTCACATAGTTACTTTTTTTTTTTTGAGTAAAATTGGAACTATAAACTGTCTAACAGAAGTGAGTTAAGCTTTGCTTGTAAAAAAAAAAAAAAAAAAAAAAAAAAGAATTCGTTCTTGGCATGAAAAAAATATTTAAATTGGGTCCTTCTACTCCTAATTGTTCTTGCTGGATGATTTTTTTATGTAAATGCTTAGGTTATGTGAAAGCACAGCAAGAAGGCACCAACACCTCTTCTGTTGTTGCCAGTGTGCCTTCACACGAAGTCCCAGTGCACCATGGTGCTCTCACACAGGGGAGTCATGAAGTTGGGCAAGTGGAAGTGCTACGATAAGACGCCAGGCAGAGGGCATTCCCAGAGCTCCCCTTCTGAGTAGTCACCATTTCAGAATAACACTGCTGTATGCTCAGTAATGCTTTTGTCTGCTGTTGTTTTTTCATAGGAAATTCTAAGTGGGAAAGAGGAACTGGATAAGCTGATAAACAGGCTACTGGAGTTTGCAGAGATGGAGGCTCTCACCGAGTATCTAGAAAATTTGCAGTCAGTGGAAGGAGGAGGCTGCTGAAGACATTGTATAGAGTTAAAGCTGAAATGCGTTCAGTAGCACAATAAAATGGACACGTGTTAGATGACTGATTAAAATCTATGCCTTTTTTTCAATGTGTGCTATTACTCTTTTTTTAATATACATATTGGCACAAATGAACCTAATGGGTTGAATTTACTACAGGTTCCCCAGCAGAAAAGAACAGGCTTTGAGCACTGTTTGTTCTGGGGACGGGAGATGTTCCTGTCTAGGTGAAAGGTCCGAAGCTCCCCTCATAGTCTAGAATTGGAGTAATACTTATTTTTATTGTTTTTATCTACTGACAGAGTGAACTTCCTAAATGTAGTCCTTTCTAAACAACTCTTTATTATGATACATTATTTATTTACGGTGAATATAGAAAAGGAAAGGGAGCAATCTTAGACGAGAGGCCAAGATCCTGAGAGCTGTACCTGACAGCCTTCCTGGGTCAGCTGAGGCTGGGTCTGGACCATGTGCTGTGGTGGAGTGTAAAAGTACCTGTTCCAGTTTCACGTTGAGTTGACAAGGTTCTGGAAGGATTTTAGCACCGATAACAGGCAGCATCTTCTTGACAGAAAATGAGCTGACAGTGTAGATGGATTTTAGCAAATGAGGTAGGTCTGGAATTCAGCTTCTGCCTTGATGTCTTCTTTGGGAATGTGTGCCTGTCTCTGAGGGCAAGCCAGATAGCTGCAGAGCACGCAGCTTTAATAGGACTCGTGTTCATGTTTTCCCCTAGGCACATATTGTGCAATATACTTACACGCACTTGTGCGTAGGCAGGCAGCAGTCAGAAGCAGAGACTGAGGAGCACTCGGATGTTTAACATTACACAGAAATAGGCAAGGGCACTGCTGGGCTGGGCTGACTTGCTAGATCGATGCATTTGCTCTTTATCCTGCTCTTCCCAAACCGTGCTATGAAACTGCTCTGCACTTTCTCGTGAATGTGAAGAGTCCATGAATTGCCATGATTTAAATTGCACGTCGTGGTTGGTTTTTGTCTGCACGTTTATTTCCTAATCATGAATGATACAGGACTGAGAAAATAGCAGTTGTTTTAAGAAAATAAATTATTTCAATACTGAATCCTAAACTGTGTAGTTAAACATCAGTTTAAACTTTATTCGGACAGAATAGAAACTATATAAATATATATATATAAATATATAAATTTAACTTTATTCAGACAGGAAGGAAAGCAGGAAAAGTACTCGGTTTCTCAGTTATGGAACTATTCTTCAATTCTTGGGGGTTTGAGAATTCTTGACTTGCTTCCAACACTCAATTACAAAAGGTTTATTTTTTATTTTTTAATTGATAGCTGTGTAAATCAATCAAGAAGCCTAGTGTCCCATGATTTAGAGTCATCTGCACATTTGAATGCTGGCATTGCGGTGAGCAGCTGAGTGAAAAATACCCCCAGGAAGGCAGGCAGCTCAGCCGGCACCTATGCAGTGCTGACAGACCGGTGCTAACTGATGGGATTAGCTGCAGGAGGAGAGTTTACGTGGTAAGCCAATTAACGTGCCCCTTTAGCTCATTTTCATGGTGCAAAACGATTTGTTTTATTATATACGTTGAACGATCTTAGAAACTCCTTCATTTTCTGCAGCCTCTCTTTGGTGGTGGTGGGTTTGTGCTCAGAGGAAGGGGAAAGCAGAAGGGAGTTCCCCCTCTAAAATCAGTTTTGATGTCCCCAGTAGAGGCATTGAAATTCAGCGGTTAAACTTTTTCTCCTAGGCTGTTCCAGTAGGACAGGTTTATAGGATGAGCTTATAGGATATCTGAAACCATACATTACTCTACAACGTCTTGCACCCTGGTCTTTTCTGCAGGATGTAAAAGCTGCTGAGATAAACGGCAGAAGTACCTCACCTGCATTGCTTACACACCCAAAGATGAGTGATTAATAAGGTATTTCTGCACTTACAAGCCTGTGAGCTGTACTGAACCATGTATATGGGCCTTGATCCACCCCTCGCCTACAAGGAAGCATAAGTCATATCGGTTCTATAGGCTCTACCTCATAGGACTGTTCCTCTCCGAAGGTCATCCTCCCCTCTGCAGCCTAGGTGCTATTTTTGCTGTTGTTTTGGCATTTTTTCAGTGTAAGATTTTTAAGGCAAGGCCTTCATTTTCCTGCCTGTTTGCTTTTGGCTGCTAGCATAATATAAATAAATTACCTTTTCTGGAGCAGGAAATATTTCAGTTTTACTCCCAAAAATAATGCCGCACGGGAACAACGGCTGTGCTACCATTACTTTTTGTTATATGATTACATATTCTCATTAGGTTAAGAAACGAGGTTGGTTCCAGTCAGGCTCTAGCACAATTCACCTGTCTCTAATGTTAGACAAAACATGAAGGGGCAATGCCAAAGCAGCAAAGGCATCTTCTCTAATTCCCCTAGTCCCTAAGCGTGGATTTATACATCAGGCTTTACTACCTTTTCCTACAGCCTTACCTTAAATCAGGAGCTGTAAGAACTGACTGCTGCTTAGAAACTCTTCGTGGCAGATGGGTACGAACAATTCACAAATAAACGGCATCAGCTGAAGATCCGTTTGGGTTTGTTTTTTACCTTTTCAGCTTGATTTGGCATTGCTAATGTAGGTTCCACTTGGATATCTGGAAAACATCTTTACCTTTAAACATAGCAGCTGTCAAAATGATAAGGAAAAAAGTAGAAGTTTTCAAATGAAAATGACGATAGTTGCCACTTGCTGCCCCATGCCTGGGGTTCCGTTTCAGACATCCCTTTCCAAAACCAGCTGCAATTCAGGCACCTGAGACCTCCAGCACCAGCTACGTAAATAGCATCACCTCTTTGCTCTGGCCATGAAATGCAAGTTATTGCGTTTGCAAGCAGAGCGTGTCCACTGCCGGGGCTGGAGGACCCCATAGGAGGTGTGGGGGGAGATGGATCAGCCAGAAATGCTTCCTTTAACCAAAGAGCTCATACTTAGGGGCTGTGTCTCAGTAAAACATGTATTTTATCGCTCCGATCCTGCCTCTCCCTGGTACCCCTACCTCCTATCTTTATGATTTTCCTCTTGGTCCTAGGACAACTCTTCCTTTGTAGCATGTTTCTAAACCAGATGAAAGGCAGGGCTATTAAAACATAATACTATGTATATATATGCTATTAATCATATTTGTAGAATAAATAAAACATTATACAAAGAAACACATGGGGCTTTATGACAGTGGAAAAATGGATTTTTACCCGCTATTTAAGCAGAACAGCACCGGTGTCTTATCTTGATTACTTCTAATTAATCATCCATGGAATGCACCAGGGAACGCCTCAGAAATCCTGGCACTAGAAATGAATTTATTCCTTTGACAGAGAGGGCTGTTTATTATCATTTAGTTAAAAGGAAGGAATAACCTAACACTGTTAGCAGTAAAAGGTATTTCACAGCCTGTTTGCCCAGATCTTACCTTACCTTATTCTAGCTGCTTTGCAAAGCTGAGTAGTTTTTTTTTTTTTGCTTTCTGTAATAATAAAAAAGTTGCCAAATGATCACATTGACAGTAAGATTATAATATTTTTTTTCAGTAAAAGCAGTGTTACTGAATAATTTGCACACACTTATGAAAGGTGGGAAATGCACATCTTTAATTCCTTCTCATTCTTAAGACCAAGGAATAGGAAGGCTACCGAGTAACCATCTGTTTCCATCAGAAGTTTACCTATTCAGATACAGTCCGAGTGCTGCTAAACAGTAACCCCGGCAAACCCGGCTCTGTTCTGTTAGGAATTTAAAAATTAACAATTTTAACCCAGGTCGTTTGTTACTTATAATTGGTGCACTGAAAAAAAGCAATTTCCAGCAACTCTTTAACACGCTACCAGAAAGCACCCAGGCCCTACATCGGTGACCACAAACTGAAAAAAAATACTTCTTTTAACAAGCCCTTCCATATTAACACACCTGTTTGGGTTTATATTTACCCCAGGCCCCACTTTTAACACAATCTGCACCCGTAATTCTCTCAGGTCATCCAAAACCCCTTGAGTACATGAACAGCAGCAAGAGAGATGGTTGAAATGAGAGCTTTATTTGGTATTTTCATAGTGAACTCCACTTCAAGAGCTTGCCGTACTCTGCCCTTGCGACTGAGAAGTTGTTTGGGAAAGCAGCTGTTTGGTTTTGCAGACAACACTCAGAGTAAAACAAATGCTTGCGAACAGCTCCCATGGTTCCTTCCTCACTGCACCCTTGGTAAAGCAAGGGATCCAAACCTGGTGTCTAGCATGGGGGCTGCGTGATGCTGCCTGCTGGTTTGTAACGTGATCTGCTTCTACGTGCACAGCTAAAACCAAACCTGTGCTTGCTGATGTTCCCCAGGAATCCTCTTGGGCAAATTTATCCTCTTTCAGGTTACTTGCAACATTTTTATTTATTTATTTTGTACAGAAACTTTTATTCGAGCTCTATCCCGAAACATTTCCCAAAGCTAGCCTCATTCCTCACACAAACAGCTAACACGATCTCCACGTTGAGGAGCAGGCAGAAGGTAAGAGGACCCGAGAGGTGGACACAAGAGGCCGAGAAGATGGGGCTGACACAACTGAAGGGCCAGCCGAAGGGACACGGACAGCTTTTGAAGCAGCAAGTGCAAGGAGTTAAGGGCCACAAGCCCTCCGTGAAGAATGCAATGAAATCTCTTTCAAGAAAATAAACCAGAAAACCAAAAGAGCAAAACCAGCCAAAATAGCTGGGGCTGTGCTTCTCCAGGGCACGAGGCGAGCATCCTGCTGAGGCTGGGAGGTGGAGACACCGTGGCCTGCGCAGGAGAAGACCAAACCTTCTGGAGAGCTCAGCGGGGATGAGGGAAAGTGTACGCACAGCACGGCACAGCGGTAAGAGGGAGATGTGCATAGCTAGGACTACTGGAGGAAGATGGCTTGAGGAAGACCCCAGTAATAATAAAGAAGTACGAGGAAGGGGAGGCACGACTCAAAAAAGCAAACCAAGGAGGCCAGGCAGCATTAAATGGGTTTTTACTCCCCTTCTGAGGGGCCAAAATATGCACTGGAATTACATTATTTTCAGGGAGGGGAAGGAGAAATGCTTTTATAGGTGCCCAGGTAGTGAATTTAACTCAGATCCATGTCAGGACTTGTCCTCCCATCCTCTCAGTCCGAGTATTTGGTTTCAATGGTGCAGCAGCAGAGAGTCAAACTACAAAAAACATTTTCTCTGCTGGGAAAGTCTCCATTTCATTCTACAAATACCCAGGTGCGGGGTTAAAATTTGGCTTGGCCTAAATCGGAACAAAGATTACTCTATAACCTGGGTTGAACTGAGCAGGTGCTCCCTGCACAGCTCCTGTCACGCTGAATTACACGCCAAGGAAAAAATCACCTTCCCTTTTAGCCTATGCAACATACGTGCTTCTAAAAGCATCGCCAACTTCAGGCAGGCCTCCTGTCGAAATGCACACAGCAGAGACAGGCTGCGAAGCTCTCCTTCCAAGAGACAAGACTGGTGAAAGGTGATGCAAGGAAACGAAGACAGTGCAGTGAAGCGACTTCAAATAAAGCCAAGGATGTGGCCCTAACTCAAGGTGCTTGCAAAAAAAAACCACATGTGAGCGGATAAAAACAGGCTGAGTGATAGAAAACGGATTTGTGAGAAAACAAAACACTGCTCCTCTGAAACAGGAACATTCCTTTGCAAAAAGTCAGTGCAGCCCAAGGAAGGATTAGCAGATGAGGAGCATAACTGTGCTAATACCTGGAGGATTCCTATGGCAGATTCCAAAGGCAGAAGATTTTGCAGGGAGATAGGGCAGAAGGGAGAGCTATCTCTGCAGAACAGATGCCCTGGAACACCAGGGTCTGCCCTAATTCTCATACAAGGCTGCATTTTTGTACACAAGAGAAAACATTTGGTTTAGACACACACTAAGGATATCAAATGACAGCACGGTGCAAAATTAAACAGTGACTTTCTAAGTATCACGTTGGTTTCAACTGGCTCTTATTACACTCGAGGGCCAGCAACAAACTGCTCTCTCCAAACTGATCTGCAGAGGCAGTGTGGAGAGAGGAGCTGCACTTCTGGTGAAATCCTGGCTTGGGAAGTCACATCAGCATTAGTTAACCCAACGCAACTCGTGGCGAACAAAGAAAACATTTAATTCTTTCCCCTAAGGTAAACACTAGCTTTGGTTTGTCTGTGAAAGCTCAGCACTTGGCAAAGACCTTTGGTTCACATTACTATTAGCAGCAGCTCCTCGAGGAAACGAGCCTGGAACACTTCTGTTTTCAGATGTTTTTAAACATCTGCTTAAGCAATTTAGTTACAGGTATCTGGAATTACTGCCTATGGGGATTTCGATATGACAAAACGTTTTAAAGAGAAAATGACAATATTTTGGGAACTTCACTAAGCTGGGGAAGACGTCCTCTTCAGAGGATATTAAAAGTGGAGCCCACAGAAAAAGAGCACTAGTAAGTAATAAAATCATTTTGCAGACACATCAGAAAGAAATAAATATACTTCAGGAGTTAACAGAAGGAGGATGAGTACAGCAGGGCAAAACAAAATCATTAAAAAACAGTTTATTGAAAGGAAAGAACAATCAGCTGCTAACTCAGCAGTCAGCAATGGCCAAGGAGCAGAAAGAGCTGGTTGAACTGGCAAAGCACAGGGCACCTGCAGCAGACAGTGTGTAAAAAAAGGCAAATGTGGCTTAGGGATGTATCAAGAATTATTTACAATATGCTAAGGAAGTGTTAGTGGCATCACACATGGTCTCAGTCTGCCTTAACATATAGTTTAGGCAACCTCAGACTGGAATGGAGGAAGAGAACTGCTGGCAGAGCACATTTTTTACGAAGGTGCTTAAAGTGTTTATGAAAAAGAAACCTGTCAACCTCTCCATGGTAGAAGGGGAACTTCTGTTCTAGCCTTGCATATGAGGTCTTTCATGTGGAACAAACGTGTGTATTCCTGCATCTCCTGGACTCTGAGAGCATCCAGTGGTCACCTGTAGCTTTCAATGAGCATGCAGAGCTAGATATGACAGAAAATGTTCAAACTTTTCAAAACAAACATCAGAAGAAACACAACCCTAACAAACAAGCATGTATGATTAAAACCTACACTCCAAAACACTTCTACACACAAAAAAAATGTCACACCATAAAGAGAGAAAAAAAAAAGGACCTCAGCTTCCCTTGTAATGTATGATAGACCAGATTCCCACTCCTTTGCCAGCTGGTCTGACAGATTAGGTCTTTTCCCCAAGAAGTTCAAGCTCAGCAGTTACCAGCTGTATTTTGCTGTGGCTGGACTCTGACAGCTGCCTTAACTCTGCTCTCTGTTTCTGACCAAGACTCTCCTGAGCCAAACGCTGTGGGCTTTAGAAATGGAGGTGTGTTTCTCAATGGTTTCATGATTTCAGCCTTTTTGGCTCTTTCTTTGATACCTAGAGAAGCAGGAAAGTAGAACTGCCGTCTAACGCAGCCACTGAATCTTGACGATGCTAAACGGAGACAAAACTCATCAGATTAAGAAGTTTAACTTAAAATCCTTTAAAAAAAACACCTAAGCATTTACACTGCCAACTTCTAACAGCCCGAGCAGCCAGCTTGGACAATTCAGCCACCAGCTCCACTCACTCATCTTTTATTTTCCTCTCCTGTAGCACTGGGAATGATGAAGCTTCGATAAGCTTAGCCCCTCCCAGCCTAGGTAACACTACTCAATGCGTTCCTCTTACCAGCAGAGGAAAACCACCAGCCTCAAAAAGGATGCTGTATGCTGTAGCAGGGCAAGATCTTTGGAATATTTTTTCATGACAATGTTATGTAATTGCTTTTTATGAGGAAAGAGACAAAAAGGAAACAAGACCAAAAAATAGAAAACGTGATGTGTAAAAAGAAAAATCCTAGAAGAAACAACAATAAAGCAAAATGCATCAGGAAGAAAGCACAGAAAACTACTACTTTGACAGAGGTGGCTCCAGAGCTGTTATTAAAAATCAGATTCATCAGGTTTAAACCTTCAGCAGAGCTCTAACAAACTGATCATGCATGTACACAATTAATTTATTTTAGAATACCATTAGAAATGAGCAGCACCGGTGTGACTAACTCCCCTAAAAACAGCTTTCAGTTTATCTACTTGAAATGTTGGAACTCTCATCGCCTACTAGTTTGCAAGCAATTAATTAGAGGTTAGTAAGCACAGTACTTTTACCCATTAGTTAGGAAACTACTCCACATAGATTATCTTGGGAGGTGATTTTACTCTCTAGTACATGCCACTGATCCAGTTCTTGTGTAAAAATAAAAGGTCTGTATCATTTTTTTGCAGATAAAGCATTAGCACATTGTCCCAAACTTAGAAAAGGGGTAAAAAACCTGACCAAATGACAGCATACACTGAGCTAATTGAGCTTAGATGGCATGGTTAAAACAAAACATAAAACTATTTACAGTATTGCATAAGTAATATAGCACAAACTTCCATTCCAAATGCACTCACATCAAAATAAAATAAAAAAATAGTACAACTCACATACGTTTTAATACCTGTAAATCCTTATTTTCTATCCAACATTTTCTTTATAAAAGCCTGTTGAAAATATTAAACTTTTGATTCCCTCCAGCCTAAATGGAATCTAAAATTATTTGCTACTGATCGCTTAGTCTTTGCCTTAAGTTTCTGGATTTCCCATTTTCAAATTTCCTCTTTTTAAACGTCGGCACCCCTTCTGCCAGGTCTCCAAGGGAGGTAACTGTCTTCTCCGTAAATATCACCTGGGCATCTTCAGGAACCTCTAGCACTGGAGCTGGCACGTTGTCACTCTCTGTACTAGGAAGCTCCAGGTCCACTTTTTCACTGGAGGGAAGAGAAGGAAACATAAAAGAGTTAATCTGCATGGAGAAAAGAATACTGTGTACTACAGACAGTGATATCCATATTTAACCAAAGCAGCTTTGAGCTAGATGCAAAGCCTTCTAGCCAAGATCATCATCATGACAGGGATCAAGAAAAACATTCTTTGTTTCTTCTGAGTGAAGTGGCATAAAAAATAAAATAAAAATAGAAAAAAAAATAAAAATAAATATGTTAAAGATGGTGGCCAGTGAGTAATTAGCAATGGTTCGCTGATAAAACGCTACTGAGTAGTTTTCCTCAGGTGTCCATCCCCAAGGCTGTGTGTGACAGAGCAGAGAACAGGCCTACCAAATGAAAAAACAACCCAAAGCTGGGAGAAGCAGCTTCATAGCACAGGATCACAGCTAATAATCAAGGACATTGTCCAAAAGTTACCAGTTGTAGGGGGTCGGTGGCAAACACTGTGTTCTAGAAGGATAACCAGAGGCATGAACATAAAATGGAGAGCAGCTGAACAGTTGGCAGAAGTGATCCAGATCACAAGACAATCGGAATCACAGCAGCAGCATAACACCACTGTGAAGAGACACCCTTAGGGAGTACATTTGTATGGACCGGCCAGGAACACAGCCATCTTTCAGCACTGCTGAGTGTTAGTTTAGTGTCAGCTCGTGTGCTGCACCCAGTGTTGGCTCCTCTGCTTCAAGGATCAGCTCGAGCACCTGAGCAAGAGCCATGGGCATTACTACAAGTCCAAAAAATGTGACTGTGGCAGTAACCCTAAAAAGCAAATCTCCTGAAAGTGGTTAGCACTGCGTCTAGTCTCAACTGCAAGCGACTAATGAACAACCACATGTCTTCCTTACACGTGTGTTAAAATACAGACTGATATATGTAAGGTTCAGTAGCTGAAAGCACTTTTTATCGGACAGTGCTTTCCAAAAGCACTGAAAGAACTTACCAGCTCTGGAGTCAAGAAGTGTTTAGCTGACCCAACACAGGAGGTGTTATGGGAACTTATCAAGCAACATTATTATCTCCAAGGAAGTGTATCTGTGCTTAATTCAATCAAACAGTGACAGAACTGTACCTGCTGAATAATTTAAAACTAAAGTGCTGTGTAATGGGGTAAGAATGAAAGGAAAGATTCATTTCCTTCTCCCAAAACTGTTTTTCCATGCTCCTAGAGGGCACTGTAACAGGAAACTCACCACAAAAGACAGCATGCTTCAGAAAAAAATGAGCAACCTCAGGCATCGTGCAGTAAAACAAACCAAACCAGCCAACCGAAAAAAAAACACACACACACACAAATCCTGATCAGATGCAAGTCATGAAAACATCTGCAGTGCATCAGCTGGACATGTGAGAGAGAGACAGCTTCCAATTTAGTATTGGCATAACCAGATTACATGTTTTGTCTTTCAACTCCTTACTTAAAGCATTACAGAAAGTGTCTACCAACACATTATGACAGCATCCAGTACTTATCCACAGTGACAGCAGAAGTTGTTTTAGTGCATTTTGTTTTGTTTTGGCTTTACTTTATTTTGAAGTTAGGGATCAAGCAAAATGAGAGCTCAAACAGAACTCTGTTACTACAACGCTGGGTTAAAGACAAAACAAATGTGTTACAAAGGGCTGTGTCCTTCAAGTGAGCAGCCAGAATCAGTGCAGCATCATGAATTGAATAATTCACTGCTTGTGGAAACAGCTCAGCCCACATTAGGTAGAATTCACTTGGGGTCTTCAAAAAGCACACTCACGTCAGCAACTACTGATCTGACAGGGAAGAGATTCAAAGCCCTATGATCAAGATCAAGATCTTCTAGGGCCCTCAGCAACCTGAACTCCAGGTACAGGTAGCCCAACTAACCATTTATCGGAAAGAAAGAGAATTTAGCCTGGAAGCTGGAGGCATTGAGCAAGCTGCCTGTGCTGCTCCGAGGCTGGAAGCAGTTGAAAAAGCAGTTACAAGAGCTGGAGTCAGCTGAACCGGATTGTTGAAAGAGACAATGTATAAGGAACGTAAGCTTAGAGTAACTACATTTAAACAACTGATACTCAGCCTCTGAGGAAAATGATGGATGACAACTATCCTTAAAATCCCTTCAGTTTACTTTGTACTTAGGGTGAAATTCTGCACTGAAACAAAATGCCACTGCTATCCTCCATGGAGAGCTATTACTTTAAATAATCTCCAAGAAAAGGGTTGTACTTCAGGCTACATTCCCAATAAAAGCTGTGGTAATTACCAGAAGTCAAGAAGAAAAAAGATTCAGCTCCTGAAAACAGATTCCGGAAACAAATGTTATGCAAATTGCTGTGGTCAAAAGATACTCACCCTGATTCTTCTTCTTCTTCCTCATTTTTAATTGATTGCCATTTTCCATAAGGATTGTCACTGGAATAATCTTTGGAAGCTGATGCACGCTCTTCTTCCAGATTAACTTCCCGCCATGTCCCATAAGGGCTTAGCTTTTTAGCCTTGGGAGATTTCTCTTCCTCTGATTCATCATCTCCTTTCCTCTAAAGAGGAAAAAACCCACCTTAAGCAAAAATGCCTAAATAAAAACATAACGTAGCTTTATTTTACATCTTTTATTTATCATCTACTATTCATAATTTTCAACCAAGAGTGATTTGAAACAATAAAATCATATTGTAATAAAAATCTTTACACTTTTTTTCCTTGAGCTTTCATCTCATACACAGTTGAAAAAAACCTACCATGGCTGAAGTTAACAAGGGGTAGACAATTACAGCTTACTTAAAAACAAGAGGCCAAAAAAATCACATGCAAATTTCAGTGCATGCACATACACAATTTGTACCTAACACGTGGTGGTTTATAACGATGCACAGTGATACAAAAATATGTATTTTAGAATTAACACCTGTTTAATTAATACAAATTATATTTAAGCCATCTCTGCTGGTTCTGAACTACCAGTTCCAGAAATCCACCTGACCCAACCAGAGCCATAATCATACCCTTTATGTGAAGTTTCAAAACTGAAGACAAATACACACAATTGATTTTGTTGTGAGGGCTGCCAATGCCAATTAACTTTTTGGATTATTTCAGGGATAAGACAGTCTACTCTCTCAGAGTACATCACACTTGCTGCAGAATTCTTCTTCAAATTGGCTGAAGAGAAGTTCATGCTCTGTGTTCTGGAACAGTGCCACTAATGTGCCAAATAACTTCAAATAAGGATTAATTTCACTATTCAAAGAAGTGCGAGCTCCTACTTTCAGTCATAAGGTTTAACCTCACCACAATCAGTACAGCCTATCACAAGAGATGAAAGATAAGTCATTTAATACTAGAAAGTGAACACTATATGTAAAATAAATCTAAAGAGAGAATTTACCTTGGATTTTTTTCCTGGACTTTGTGCTTCACTTTCACTGTCTTCCTCACTGGAGTCCGATTCAGATGCTTTGGAACCTGTTTCTGCACCCTCTTCAGAACGCTTGCCGCGCTTACTGTTCTCATTTGAAGATGAAACAAAACCATCAGGTTTCTCCCACGTGGACACTGTCCAAGATATTTGAATAATCGCATTATTTACGTATCTAACTCTAATCTATTATTGCTTTGACAGCATCACCTTTCAGAAGGAGTACTGCCTTATATACAGCAAATAATTTAGCACAAGGCCTCTGCCTTTGCTCAGTACATTTTTCTCAGCAAAGATACCGCCATGACAACTGCGTTCACTGTTGATAAAGCTTGCTTTAATTAGTGCTTAAGAAAAACATCGTGTATAGCAAACCTTGGTCCAAACAACTCTGGTCCCTCTCACCCTAAAACAGGGCAGGCCACCTTTGGAGGTACCCATTTGATTTGTGTTATCCACTGATGCCAAAGAAAGGATGAGGTAAGGAATGCTAACTGTGAGCTTCTTAGCTTTCAGGGCAGATAAAACCTTCCCCCCTGCTACTCAGCTCAGTAAGGTCAGGTCTCTAATTAAACAGCTATCAAGCAAACAAGGGAATACAAACATTAATTTGAAAAGGCAAAAATATCTGTAGGATATGACCACGTTTTCAATTAGAAGGTAGTATTCCAGCAAATATATTGAGAGAAGGTATTTAAATAAAAGTGAATCAGTGGTCTTGAAGCCAGTTTTAGTAGCAATAAGGTAAAAGTATACCAACTTTTAATATATAATGTTATATAAGCTTTCAAGTGTAACAGAACTACTATTTCCCCCAATTACTTTATTTCCAAAGTAACCCCTAGCAGAAAGCAGCACTTAAGAAGTATGCTTCTAAATGTATCTCGAGGAAGTAAAGGTGTAAAAAACTGACAATGGGTGGCTTACAACTAACAAAGCAGTCTCTTAAGGGTATTGCTGTCATCTAGCTTTAGACCAGCAACTGAGAAAAATAAAATATCACTTTTTTAGGCATCATATATAGTCAGTGGATTAAGGTGCAGCCTTCTGAAGCATGATTCATAGCAGGAGCTAAGCCGAGAGATACTGGCCTCCTAAATTACATGCCTGAGATGAGACACTACGAACATTCCCCTTGGCTAACAATTTGTCTTTTCTTCAGAAAATAGGATTAGCGTTAGCAGAGCTGACAAGTATTTCAAGCATTTGCAAGATACCTGCAAATAGATAAAAATAAGGGATCACTTTGAAGTCTCACAATCTCAAGTTTTACCGAATATAATGATCATAAAGACATTCTTCTTAAGTGCAACGTGTCCGTGAAGAACTTAAAAAATGTTACAACCAAAAGCATAAAATATGTCTGAACTTCGATGGCAATGTTTAAAAATAACCAGCAACTCACTTCCCTCTCAGAAGAGAAACCACAAATCATTTGAGAAGAGAGGTGGCATGCTGAAAAACTGAAAGGGTTTTGTTTTTTCTTTCCTATTCTTGGCATCATTAGGAATTCCACTTCATACCCAACAGCAGAAGGAAAACTCATAGCTGGCATTCACTTGCTCTCCAGAGAGGCACTGTTGACCATACCTGATTTGAACAGATTTAGAAAACAAATGCCTGTTCTGGGGGAGTTACCACAAAGTTCCCCAGGCAGGGAAAAAAAAATGGGGAAAAGAAATAGGGGCTCTGATTCTGGATTCTTGTGTCAGTCCTCTGTCAACAAGAGGAAAAGTTTAGGAGATCCTAAACTTCAGCTCCATACACCTGGTAAAACAAAATCCTATCCCTTTGGGTTTCCAAACTAAAACTTTAATACATATGTAGAAATGAAGAACCCATACCTTAGAGTTGTAAGTTAAAGGTTTAAAAAAGCCTACAAAGCACAAATGTATACAATCTCATAATACATTTATAAAGCCAGCACTGAGCGAGCTAAGCAACAAGTCTATTTCAACTAAGGCAAGAGCTTAAAAGATATAGAACTTAACAGTGGCCTTAAAACACAGCTATTTGCAAAATAAAATGCTGCTCTGAAAACCCTCTGTTCTGAAACAGAGCTTAACTCCTTACCTCCTGTTTGTGTGTTATAGTAATAGGTATGACCATCTTCAGTGACACCTTCTACCCACACTGCTCCCTGAGAAAAAGATACAGAAGCTAATTAAAAACAAAGACTTTTAAGGATCAGCGAAAGAATCACTTACAAAACATAAGACTTCATCCCTTTAATAGTTTTGCTCATGATAATTTTACTGTTTCAAAACCTGTCTGAAGCTTGAACTCCTTAAACTCTTACAAATTATTTCCTTTGACTCAAATGAGGTTGAATTGCTTATCTTTAAAGAACCACAAATCCATATACACATTTTTTTCAAATAGCGGATAATTACTATGCCATACAGTTCGAATTATGATATAGCCCAACATTTTATATGTTTTTGATTTTCCAAAGTTTTCACATCTTAACTTGTCATTTCCCATTTTGTTCATTGTCTTAAGTAGAGACTGAAAAATCTCTCTGGAAGTCTTGCAAGTTTTGTCAGGGCTATAGAAAACCAGTATCAAGAAATACTATCACTGAGTAAACAAAAGCAAACAAAATAGCCTTCTAAAATTTATTCCAAAGTACACATTCACCAGAAATAATTGAAGAATTAATCTTTGCAGGAATGCACGCCAATGAATTTACTTGATTTGGAAAAGCACCAATTTCAACAAAACGTTGATTTTTCATTCTGATTAATCAATGCAGGAGAAATGTGGCTGAATTTGCTGCTTGTATGTCTTTGTGGATGCGTAATTAAAATAAAAATTACTTGCAGAATAAATAATCATACATTACATGAGTTAAGATCTTTGTTAAGAACCTGATTTCAGCAACACTTACACATAAAACTTTTTCACTGCTCCTTAAGTACTAACATTACTCACTCCCCTGTACTGGGCAGGACTTCTGTATAGCTTCATCACACATCATTTTTGCATTAATAAAAGTTTCTGTGTATAGATACACACAGAGATACGTGGATTTTTCCACACACATTCCTATCCATTTGCTTAATACTCCATTAAAACCTCGTTTTTCTTTTTAAAACAACAAATTAAGAAGTTCACATCCGCTCTGTAGAAAACTACATAAGGAACAAAAAATTATGCTGGTTTGTTCAGAGGAGGCAAAAGCAAGAAAACCTTCAGTGATCAAGTTTCCTCAAGTTTTTGCTCTCAAAAGTTTCAAGGTGATAGTTTAAACATGAGGGAAAAAAAAGGAAAATTTATCTTATGTAAGTCGAAAGAGGACAAAAGACTGTACTTATGTGCAAGCTATCCTTTTTGTTACAGTTAGATCCTGAGAAGGTTTAGGTTTTCAGCAGGTATTTGACATTTGGCACTCCGAGCATCCTACTACATAAATGCTAACAAGCACGACATCAATTTAAGTGAAGCTGTAGGTAGCCTTCACCATGCCTTTCATGGCTCTGTTCTCTGCACCTCTTGCAAAGCCTGAGCAGCAAGCCAACCTGCTATAAAGCAAGGAGGGACCGTGAATCTCACTTGCACGACAAATTGCAAACATGCCCTTTAATTTGTGGGAAATGTGAGTCCTTGCTGGAGATCTGGAACATTCCCAGTATCTTTAGCTCAGACTAAATAAGGGAGAAATTAAACGCTCGTTTTCAGCAGGAGCTGAAGTAACTAGAGACACCACAAAGTCACAGATCAGGGCGAGGGAGGAATGGCAAAATACAACCATGTGGCACGAGAAAGATAGCCGAGGCCGAAGGTGCGTATTTATGATACAGCTGAGACGAGCTAACGTCAGACTGCTGCCAAGAAGGCAGCTCCTTCCCTCCTCCATCTGGTCTTCCTGAACGGGCAATTCTGACTGCCCAGAAGGCTGATTCAAGGAAACAAGCAGTAACCTAAACTCCGAGGTTTCCACTCCCTGGATGAGTTCACTGTCAGGACAAACACACACCAAGGACCATACACGATCAGTCACTGGACCACCTCTTTCAGGGGAAGGCTGGCTTAAAAATACTGCAAAGCTACGCCTTGACAGAAAAGATAAAGTTGAAGACCTGGTTAACAAGATGGGCAAAACTGCAGGGGAAAGAAAACAGAAAGCTGGAGTAGCATGTGTTGGGCAGCTCTGACATGAATAAACACTGGATAAAAAAAAATTCTGTTTCTGAAATAAAACCCTGTCTTAACAGAGAGAGAGAATAAAGACAACGAATGTGACATTATGTGAATTGATTCAATTGCCTAAAAATATACACTATTATAACCAGTTTTTCCTCAGTCTGTAAGTACCCAGTACCAAACAAAGGCTACCTTCTAAGATACAACAATATAGGGTGACAGAATGTCGAGCATTCTGAAAAAGACAGGATTTTTTGCTCTCCAACAGAAAATCCAGTATTAGCAGACAACAGTGACTTGAAATCATACTGCGCTATTACACTTATCTTGAAAATGGGAAAAACTTAACACCACTTCATGGGAATGCTTGTACAAATAGTGCTTTTAATGTTGTGAAACACTAAATTCCTGGAGTGAAAAATATCAGGGGAAAGTCCACTGATGATGATAATAAATGTATTATAATAATAAATATAATAAATAAATAAATATAATAAATAGTCTTTGAACTATTCAGCAGGTTTGCCTGTCCCTTAAATCAGGAAAATACAGTAAAACGCTAAAAGGTTGCTTGCAGATGGCAACCGTGCCACTAAGAAACCTACAAAAAGGACAAATTATCATATAAATGTACCCTAAAGCAAACACAAAAAGATATTTTTTCTTTACTACCGGACAATGTAGCCTCTGTGTTTTCCACGCAGTGCTAAAACACAACACACAAACAAATACACATTTCTTCATACACATAACAAACAGCTATTTCTCACTGAGCAGTTGTGAAAAAGGAAAAATTCCTTTTTTCTTTTAAGTGTTAAAGATTTCTACATCGCTGTGGTAGAAGAAACTCATGAGCTATAGTTCAGATCTGATGTCTCTTCAATGCTCATGTTCCATCTTACTGTAAAAGGAGAGGAGAGCTACAAAAAGCTGAACAGAATTTAATCAGAGCTTTCCATAAGCTTTCAATTCAATGGGCTAATGCATTAAAAAAACATTCTGTAAAAACATAACCATCATTATCTCTTCTCTTGATAATTATTAATGCAAAAAAAACATGTACAGTAGAATTTCAATTTTCATCATGTCATAAATGATCCTATATACTTACATTATGTTATGTTTCCTATGTTTACTAAGGGCAAACAATTTATCGTCTGCAATCAGGAGAGACTTGCAAATTGCTCAGCTCATTTCTGGTAAGTGTTTACAAGGGCAAAGAAAAGTACAAATAACAGTGTTTGATTACCGTTTGCGAATTTTTAGAGTTGCCTTGGAATCCTTTAGGTTTTTCCCACTGTGATTCTTAAAAAAAACAAACAAAAAACAAAAGCAAATTTCACCCATCACTCAGTCCTGATCATGTTTAACAATATAAAAAAAACAAAGATCTAACCGCTAAGATACTGATATGTGCACCCATCGCAAGTGTAACATTGATCAAGGATAATATATGTTCTGATGGGATATATCTAGCTGTAGTATAACAATAAACAAAAGTGTCATAATTACAACTGGCTTTATCAGAACTAATCTGCCAGACTGCTAGATTCTGGTTGACACACAGATACTGGAAATTTGGTACAAAAAGGTCATTTTTTTTTTATGGTAGCATAGGTCAGAAGAAACTGAACACACAAGATTTTTACCTTTTGGAAGTTACCCTGTAGAAGGAAAGACTAAACTAAATACTGAAGTCATCTCTAAATTTATAAGAAACAGTTTATGTTCTCATTAATCATAAAAGAGGGTTGCTTTTATGCTCTAAAGTGTAACTTTAGAGTATGAAATATAAGCTCATAACACATCGCTCCTCAACAGAAGTCAGTCTGTTAGATAAATCCTGTAAATGTGGAAAGAAACAATCAGAGAACAATTCATAACTGCCCTCATTTACTTGAGCATGATCGATGCCCAAATAATCATCCAGTTCACTTCTCATTCCTGATAAAGCATTTTTAGAAAAAGCACAGCTATCTTTTGTATATTTAACCTCTGAGAGGCTAACATTTTCCAGAAACAGTAGAATTACTGTGTTATCCCATTATTATTAAGAAAAAGCAAATACAGCCTCAAGTTCCGGATGCCTAAGTCTTGATTATTAAGTATAAAAAACTCCATCTAATTGTTCAGATTTTAATAATCAGCTTCCTACTGAGATAGCGGAAGCATAAAGAAATGCAGGTTGTCTTTAGTCATTTGTATGCTATACGTCTATCTGCATTTGCTCCTCACTAATTTTTACCTCCTGTTTTTGTATTGTAGTAATAAGTGTAGCCTTCAGGAGAAAGTCCTTGCACCCACTCCTTCGTTTCAACTTTCGGTGACTCTGAGGCGCCCGGAGATGTCTTTTTTTTCTTTTCCTTCTTCTCTTTCTTTTCTTTCTTTTCCTTCTTTTCCTTCTTTCCTTTATCTTCTGTTGTGCTACTCAGTGTTTTACTCAGCACTGAACTGGGACCTACCTCATCTTAAAGAGAAATAACACTCAGTTAAAAAACATTAATCTGAGTTTAAATATTAGTCACTTATGTAACAGCAAATAGGAAATTTTGTTCTTAGGAGTATTTTTAGTCATTAGTATTACACTCGTAGTAGCCAAACTGAAAAGATTACATTCAAAGAACCTTTCATTTTAGCAATACAATAGTGTTACAAGATAGTATCTTCCTTATAATAACTTTTGATATTTGATATCTAAGTATCAAAAGATGAATAATAACACAAAAACTGTAAGAACCCATGAGCTCTGACTAAACCCAAAGAAACTAAAAGAGTCTTGAGGAAGAACTACTGCAGGAGCTTTAAACTACAACTTTTTAAAAAGGACAATACGTCTTTGCATTGACTGAACAAAGGTACTTGCTGAACTGCAAGCTGAGTAGCAGATTTTAATCTCTACTACTTGATACCAGTGCAAGTCCAAGTGCTCCTATTTGATAGGAACTTCTGTCTCCAAGTGGTAAAAGTGAAAAATAAAATTAAAGGAAGCTGCGCTGCTGATTTAAAGTACTAACTACTGTTTTTTCTTTGTTTGTTTTGTGTGTGTATGTGTGTGTGTGCTTTCACATTGTTTAAATGTTCCATTCCAAACCAGATTGTTCCATGCACCTGAGGACACCATAGCTAAAAACAATCTGTACTGCAACTTCTACTACCGGCAATTTGCAGGCTCACATTTCTTTCCTTTATTATTTTTTTTTTAAATAAATAAATAAATAAACAAGCAAACACAGTCCTGGAGGCCTAGTCTCATATTTCTAAAACCTAATTTAAGAAAAAAAACCATTCCTATTCAATATTCTTTCAATTTTGTCTTTAATCCTTTGGCAACTATATGAACTACCTGGCTTGATTCCAAGCCTTTTCAAATCCTCTTGATATGCTTTCATTGCAGCCTCCTCCATTGCTGCAAATTCTTTTGACATGTTTTCTTCTTCTTTTGCTTTTTCCAAGCTTTTCTTTTTAATCTAAAAGAAAACAAAAGCCCAAGAGAATAAATTAAGCAAGTCTGATAATAAAAGTGATTAAAAATACGTATTTGTGAAAGTAAGATAATTGAGTTACCTCACTAATTCTTTTTGCCACATTTTCTTTATGATTCTTTCCTCTTTCATGAAACTCTATGCTCTAAAAAAAATAAGAAAAAAAACCAAGAAAAATAATACATCCAATTGTAATTTGTTGCAGCTAGTTAAAATTTAATTAGACTAAACTTAGTTCAGCAAGCCTAAATGTAAGCTGCTTTGAAAATATTTCCTCATAATAAATTCAGGAACACTGCAAAACACAACACAAAACTTATGAAAAAACAGTAACGCTCAAAAGTTTTAGTATAAATGTTCATTTTCTGTATTTAAGAGATTTAAAACTTCTGAAATAATAATACTCAGCACATATATTAGAGATGAGTAACACGGAATTTGGGTTCCCTCTCTATGCTATCCTAAGTAGCATACTTTTTTTTACCCACTTTGTTGGTTTTCCTGCAAACTTTTAAAAACATTGTGGTCTATTTAGCATTGCAAACATTAGCTATTGTCCTTAATTAGATAATTCCCAACTGTAGAAAGATCCTATGAACGTAACCAGTCTCCAGGCCCACAAATCTGAGAGGGAGAAAAGGCTCAAGTTGGGTAAATGAGGACAACAGAACAGTCTGCAAGCTAAAAAGCTGCCAGAAAAACAAACAAACAAACAAACAAAGCCAGTAGAAACTGGAAGGAGTTCAGAAGCTGTACAGGTGTGACAGCTGAAACCCTCATGTGGTTCACAGAAAACACATCTGATCTCACTTAGGTGTTCAAAAATTAGGTGCCTGAAGCTGACCTAGTAACCCCAAATTTCTTTGCACAAACAGATGTGCAGGGGATGCACATCCAGATGATGATTGACCGCTTCTGAAAGCAGGCTTATAAGTTACCTAAACACCCTCCTTAATGTATATTTCCCTTTGCTGACTATATAAAAGAAACCTAAACCAATCAGCTCACATCTGTGCTTCTGAGTTACAGGTATCTCATTGTAAACCAGATGAAGCTCAGCTCCAGGAGTACCTTTGGCATCGAGTCAGGAGGGCAGAACGTATTTTTAAAGTGAGAAACCAATGGTTCTAAAAAAGGTGTCTTGCAAAAGGTGTCTGCAAGTCAGAAACACCTTTCTTTGACCCAGCAACATTTCTGTGGGCTGTGTGAAATGAAAGAGATTTCCTTTAAGTGCTTACAGCACTGGCTGTACCAGGCCTGCTATATACAAACAGCATGTAGACCAGGTTTTGCTTTCCATTTGCATACTAAGGCTAGGAACAGGCATGGACAAAGTTTCAGGACAGATCAAATGTTCAGTTACAGGTCCTGAAGAAAAAGCAGGATCAAATATTTCACTTCTTCTCTTGCACTGCCAAGTACAAACAGCACGCACCATCTTGTATGCACGTAACGTGGCTCTCACAGAACACATCTTAAATATCACAAGTACTACAAAAGCATTTTTAAACAGCACAGTTCATGTATTAATAAATTAACAAGTGATTTTATAGGCCATAATTCAAATTCTTAGTATTTCAGAATCATGGACTTAGCAGAGATGATCGTACAGGTCTGTTGTCTGCTATCCAGCACTTGCAGTAATCGCAGAACTTTTTGGGCTGAGATTTCCAGTAATCGGCCCTGGGGAGAAGGAAAAAGAGAAGATGTGCAATCTGAAAAAATAATCAAAGCCACACATTGTAAAATACATAGCCTCAGAAACCAAACCGAGTTGCTGTCTTTGGGTGATTGAGTACTACGAGGATATTTTTTGGTGTTTTTGTTTTGGGGCTTTTCTTTAAGCTATGGCAAGCAAGCAAGAATAGTTGTATCGACTACAGTGGTTCATAAAGCACAGCTCAGTAGCAAGATTTGCCCAACTGATCCTTGAAGACTGCAATATTTTTTTTCCAACAGAGATAACGCTCTGAGGACCAGAAATATAAGACAACACAAGCCAAAGCTAAACAAGCAGCAGCAGATACCTTTATTCATCACAGACCTGTCAGAAATGTGCAACTCGTGCTGTTTTTCATTAAAAAATGCATACAAAAATGCTTCTAGGGGTAAAATTTTGATTTAATGTCAAAGCCCGTTTTGTATACTGCCAGGCAACACGGAGGTGTGGTCCTGGACGAGGTGAGCTAAGGCGAGGAGTCCCGGGGCAGACTGGGACCTGTGGGGTCCCAGACACAACAACAAGTGCTTTGGGTGTTCCCGTGTGACAACGTGAGCATTTCTGAACCAGCCCATTTAGATAAGAAGTTGTCTGTGTGTGAGAAAACACGGGGAAAACTCTTCAGAGCTCAGAAGTTGGTACATAAAAGTATTTACCAGTAAAACAAACAAGCCCTCCTACGATTAGATAAAGGGTGATTCGTCATCAACAACCTCTTTCTAATGGCAGACGAGGGTTTTGCAGAAATAACTCCATTTCTTGTCGGCTTGCAGGGACAGATGCAATGCCTTTGTTCAGCAGAAAGCATTTCAGCAACAGATTTTTTTTTTTTTCAATTAAAATAAAAGGAATGAGGGGAAAAAAATAATAAAAAAAATCAAGATGACACTGAGGATATTCAAGATTAGTCCAAAAAAATGGATCTCTGCCTTCCACTTCAAGATCAACGTACACAATTTAAGGAAAATACTTCCTGACTTTTTAATTCAATGAAAACAAAACTTCTTCCACATGTAAAAATACCACCCCAAACCTTTCATGTGCAAGCACATCTTTCGTAACAGAAATAGACCTGACTTCACTCTTAAAATTGAAGCAGAGAGATCAAAATATGCCTTCCCACCAGTGCTTAGTGTAAAAACACGATTTCCAAGAGGCTGTGGCTATTTAAAGTTGTAAGTATGGATGAATCCACTCTCCAAAAACATTTCAACCTGTAAGCAAGCGTGTTAGCAGCACGCAGCTTTCCGAGCAATTTGCTGGGAAGCCAGAAAGCAGCTGGGCTTCCCCCGACTTACACAGAAATCCTCTCATCTCTACACAGTGGACTTTAAACCTGGGTGATTACTTCGTCACACATTTAATTAAAAGGCTTTCGAGATCCATACTCCTGGGAAATATGCCTGGGAAATCTGAAAGTGGTTTGAAAAGCAGCTGAGTGGGAGGGAGAGGTTCAGAGCTCAGAAATACCTCTAGGGCCTTTTTCCTCTTTGGGCTATGGCTCCTGAACTGTCCCTAAGCTCTTTGACATCACCCAAGGTGAATTTCCAGCTAAAAGCTGCGTTAACTTTCCCAAGGCAAAGGTCATCATCACATCTGTCACAAGCCCCTGTAGCTACACAGAGCGATCACTGAGAAACCTGAGGCACAGCTGGGACCTAAACACAAAACTCGAGGCCTTGACAAGGAAAACTTTTGTTTTCACCTCCTGTTGGTGTTGCTGAAGATCTGAGATGGTAAACACAATGCTGTGCAGTAGACCTGATATCATGGGAACCTTAAATCCTACTATTTTATGCTTAACAGAGTTAATTGTGTAAATTACAGTCCCAGATCTGCAACTTAGGAGTCTCCTGAGTATTATACGCTTAGATTTTCCACTTGAGCTCATACCACTCAAAAAAAAAAGAGCAAGCTCATCTGAACTACCCCTCAAATCCCATCTGCCACTGTAATAGGGCCGGAGCCTGTGACATACCAGCAGGGCTGCAGGAAGATCCCTCTTTAGCAGGATTCTGCCAGGATGCTTCACAGGCTCCGCTCACCAGCCTGAAAGCTAATCCTGCTCCATGACTGGTCAAATATGGGATTTTTTTTCCAGTAATCTACCAAATACAGCCTTGAGAGTAGATGCAGTTAAAATACAAAGGTCCTTAAATTGTGCAAAAATCAAGGGGATCATTTTATTTTAGAAAGTCCTTGCAGGTACTTTTCCTCAGCACAATTGATTCCTTGGGACATTAGAATCACACAGCCTGTGTTAAAATATTCAGGTTGTGCCCTCCTCCTGCCCACAAACCGTGTGTTTGGGAGACCACAAAAGGACCAGGTTCTGTTGACAACATGCAGAAAGCAACCTGAGGAGTGACTCCAGCAGTGCTGGAGTCCAAGGCCCCGAGCTCTCAAGTCAGAGCCCCCTGTCAATACGTGAGCTATCTCCTTCTAGCAGCTTAGGCAAATTATTAATGCTTTAGCAGACAGTGCAAGCAGCAGTTATATTGGGAAGCATTAAGAAACCCTAATAACGACACTATCTTCAGCCAGGAAAAGTTTTGACAAACTTTATTGTGAGACTGGGATGGAGGTTTTGGTTCCTACCACATGCTGGCTGGAAGAAGAAAAATAAAGAAGAAAAGGGAGGACAGGAATAAGAACTAAATGTGTCAGGTGGTTCTGAATACAAGGGAAAAAAAGTATCTGAAAACAAGAAAAAAAAAACATAATTTGGCCATGCAAACAAAATCTGGAAGTATTTGCTTTGAATAGCTTTGTTCTGAAACACCAGACTTGAAATCTGGCAGGGATGCAGAGGGACGTGTATCAGGGATATATCTGTCCAAATTATTGGCCTTTAGGGGGAACAACTTCATACGCACGCTCAGGGTCTTCTTTGGTCTTAATATCTGCAAACTCTGAAGATTTCGCACACAGTTAATATCTTCCAGCTTTCTACAGGTTTGAGCACTGAACAGTCCTAGGCGTGCATCATCTTCTTGAACACAGATCTTCGTGTGTGAAGTGAGAAATCCCCAAATCCTAGCTCCTGGCTACATAAAGATATGAGACTAGCTATCACCGACAGTCTGTAACAGCCACTCAACAGGGCACATTTTTCAGAAATACGAATAAATTCTCTTGAGGAACACTGTGCACTTCTAAAGCAAAATAATACTTCTGTAATGCAATGAAGTAGGAAAAAAAATGAAAAAAATCCACACATCTCACAGCAGAGCTTCTGCAGGGGAAGCCGTTCGAGAAGAGGTAATTTAATGAAAATATCGTTCAGTCTTTCTGTGATGAGTGAGCTCTCAGAATGAGAAACTAAAATCATTAGGGATCGAGGTCTTACGGGGGGAGCCTAAAGCCAAGAGCCGCCGAGCCAGCCTTCGGCATTAAACATCCGAGGTCAGGAATATCTACCGAGAGCAGAGGTCTGCTGCTGCAGATGGAGAAGGATCTGGGCCACGTCAGGGAGAGTATGATAAGAATTAGAAGAGAGAGAGAAGGTGAAAAAAAAAAAAAAAAAAAAGTGACAAATTGGGTCAAGAAGCTGTTTGGGTATAAATTTAGCAGCAACTAAAATGACGAACGCTGCTGCACGTACTGTGAGTCTGCAAGGCAGGCTCCAGCAGCTGAACCACCAAATATTTCCCCACCAGATCTCAAATTTTGGATCCATTTCGTGTGATTTTAAGGAGAAAAAAGGATATTTTGAAAAGCAGGAGAAGCAAGCAGATGTCTTCTGACTTTCTCAGGTCACACCGAGCAACCCCTGCGTTTTGCACCCCCCTCCCAGACGGCTCCCAAGCATCAGTAGGTGTTTCCTAAATATTTTAAGTGCTTAAAAGAGGCAGCAAAAATGAAGAAAAGGGGGGTTTCTTCCACAAACTGCAGCCGGAGCTGGAGGTAGCGAGGAGTCCCGGCGGGGGGAGAGCTCCCCGCGGCGCTGCCCGGCCGAGATAAGGGCGGAGATAGGGGCAAAAGGCAGCACAAACAAACACCCGGGGGGCCGGGGCAGCAATAAGGGGACAGTAAAGCTGCAGCCTGAGCTCTCCCCTGGGCTGCTTGGGATCCCCCAGCCCCAAAGAGCCGGCTCCAGCCCTGCCCACCCTCCCCATCCCCAGTGCCCGGGGTCCCGGCCGCCAGCACTCACATGGCCGCCGCCGCCTCTTCCACCGCTGCCCTCCGCCGGTGCCGCTGGGGCGGAGCGGGGCGGAGCGCGGCGATGGGAGCCGGGAGGGCTCAAGCCCAGCTCTGCTCCACCCGCCCTTCATCATCACCACCTCCTCCTCCTCCTCCTCCTCCTCCTCCTCCCCGCTCCTCCTCCTCCTCCTCCTCGCCCCCCGGCCGAAGGCAGCGCCCCGCGGGGAGCCGCACGCCCAGGGAGCCGCCGCCGCCGGTGAGTGGGGTGGGGGGGCACGGACGGGGGTCGGCACCCGGGGGCCGCGGGTTCGAGCCCCGCCGCCGCTGTTTTGGGAGGGGGTCGCCGGCCCCTTCCCCGCGACCCCCTGGCAACTTTTGGCGGAGTTTGGGGTGCAGAAGAGGGTGGGTGCTGGGTTCTCCTCCTTCTTCTTCCTCCTCCTCTTCGTCGTCCTCCTCGCCCCGCCGCCGCCCTGCTGGCAGCCTCGCCCCGCCGCCCTGGGGCTCGCCTGTTGGGTGCCCCCCTCGGCCGCTGCTTTCCTTCCCTCCGCTAAAAGTCGTCTCACTTTTGCCTCCTGCCCTCTCGATACTCTGCGAAGTGTTGCCCAACGCCGCTGCGAGACCAACAAAATAAATAAAAAATAATAATCTTAACGCATCGGCTGCAGCTGGCGATGTGTGCTGCTGAGGGCGGAGGGGAAGCCTGGGCAGTGAGTCATGAATTTAAAAGGCCCTCTGCTTGTTTATTGCAAAAATAAAAAATAAAACAGGGGGGTGGCGAATTCAACATGTGGGTAATAAACGGGGAAATAAAAAAAAAAAAGTGACTAAATTCCTAATAAAAATGATTAAACGGGGGGTAGCAGCATGTTCCTCCCTGCCCCCAGCTTGCTGCCGTAAGAAGAGGGGGGAAGTAATTTTGCTTTTTTTTTTTCCTGAAGGGGAGGGCTTGCGGTCAGGCTGTCATAGCTGACTGCAGGAGTTATGCGTTTGTCAGCATTTCCATTAGAAGTGTACTTTTTATGTAGTTTACAACTTGGTTATAAAAATATGCGCTGGGTTGAAACTTGGTCAACGGCCTCTTCTCCAGAAACGTCTCTGAGGCAAACTTTGGGACGGTTCTGCTTAGATGTGAAGTGGAAATCCGTGGAAAATACGGGATTTTGTGTTTCGCTGAACTCTAAAACTTTGCTGCTCACGCACGTAAATGCATTTACAGCTGTTAGCCTGAACTCGGTTTGTGTTTTATTTTTTATTTTTTTCCCATGCCAAGTATGCTGAGTGAGGGAAGGGTTGAAAAGCTCGGCCTCTGCAGGCTTTGGGGTCGCTGTTAGGGCCTTAATTAGCTCAATGGAGGCTTGGTGAAGCCTCTTAATGGAGGCCATGGGGGCATCGTGAGGTGCCCACCTTCAGAGGTGTCGCGGGGCACCCACAGAGCTCAGGCAGCCTGCTGAGTTGTAGCAGCACTTTGAAAGCCCCAAAGCTGTGGACAAGACACCAGTGTTAAAATAAAAGCAGAATACGGTAACTTTGCTACCAAAGCTCTGTGGGATTTTTTTTATATTTTTAAATTTTTACTCTGTCTGTTCGGTTGCCGTGTCTGAAACGGGGAAGGAGCGCGGTGTTTAAGAGGCTTCGTTTGTATACCTCTGTATGTATGCATCCTGATGCTGTGAAACGTGCCTGCCACCCAGTGGATGCAGCTGATCTGTGTACACTATATTCTATACATTTACTCCCTCTCCTCTGCAAGTTTGCAAAGTGAGGTGCTCAGGAGCTGTCGGGTGCCATGCTGCATGGGTCCTGTGCTCCGGGATGCCATTTGAGGTGAGGTGACCCGCCGCTGCTCTTCCAGCTCTGGGGCTGAGCCAGGGGGGTATCAGCTGGTGGCAGCAGCACGCTGACCCCTCAGCTGGAGAAGTCAGAAGATACGATGGGTGGATGAGGCAGGTGATGACATAAAGAGGAAGAAGCATCGTCCTGCCTAAGATAACTGGAGAACGGGATTCTCCGGCCCCTGCTGTTCCCATAGGATTTCCACCTGACCTTCCCGTTTTCTGACGCGGGCCATTTGTTTTTCTGGGTGCCTGAGCTGAGTCTTAAGTCTGATCAGCAGTTGTGCTGAACTCACCGATCTGGAACAAAAGTCAATGGCTGTTTGTTCTCAGCATGCAGAAAATGTTTAGCAGGAGTAAGCATGGTGGAAATGCAAGTCTCCATCGTCAGAATTGCTCACTCAGTGTCTGCAGCTTTTTACTTGATATTTTTTTTTGTGTCTTAGTTTCCTGTCTTCAGAAAATTGTGGATCAGTGTCCTTTATTTTTATGGATTACTGCAGTGATAAGAACCTGGGAGAAAAGAATTCATTCGTCCTCTGGTTTGATGGTGCGGATATGCTCTGAAGGACAAGGGCAAAAAGAGAATTTGCGTGTTAATTATAACAAAGCTTCTGTCAGGAAGAAAATGTGACCAGGTCAGTCACAATTACAGGCTGACCTCCGTGCATACAAGCACTAGGAGACAGTTTTAATTACCATTGCTCAGTTCTAATAAGGCCTCAATTCTACAGTGCTAATCACATTTTTTTTTATTTTTATTTTTTTAAAAACCCTGCTTTTACTGTGTCATTTCCTAGGTTTTCTTTCCCTTAGGAAAAGATAAGATAAGCAGCTAGGCAGCCCGGGGCAGTGCATGTGTGTTCGTGTCCTCCCTCAGCTGGGTTACTGCTGTAACACACAAGACTCGTCCGAGCTCTCCATCCAGCAGGACCCACAGTGGTCGGTCCTGGCTGCGTGTCGGCCAGCAGGAGAGGATCTGTCATGCTCTGCCAGTTTCTTTTGCAGCTGTCTGCAGGCAGGGAGCGAATGGCCAGGCTCAGAAATCCTGGGCTGTGTCCCAGACTCCGGAGGAGAGCGTGCCGTTGGGATCTCGCATTTTCCTGCTCTGTCTGCGCCCCTCATGTGCCATGGCTTGTCTCAGTCCTTTGACTCGTTCTCACGCTGTCTCCTTGTATCTGCCTTCCTTTTCTCCTCCTCCTTTGCTTCTGTACATCCCATCTCTGTGTTTTCAGTCTCCTTTCACAGAAAGTTGTGTTCATACACCAGCCCCCTTGTGTTTTGTTTTTTTTCTTTCTTCTTAGTCTCACGTCATTCTGTGCCCATTTTTTCTCCCTCCCCTTCTTGTTTTTGCTGTGGAGGGAGCCTTACTCCTCAGTTTTTCTGCCACCCTCTCATGTCATTCCTTACCCTCTATGGTTCTTGCATGAAGCATCTTCCTTGGTCCTTCTCTGTGGTCTTCTACAGCTTCGCATTGCTGTGAAGACCCACGGGACAAGACACTGAAAGGGCAGGAGAAACAGGGCTCCAGCTCTCATCCCAAGTGCCTGGCATCTTTTTGGCCTCAGCTGACCATTACATGGACAGTCTGGAGCCTGCTCCCGCTCCATGCCTTTGAAGACTCTTATCTGAGCTGCAGCCTTTTCCTGGGCAGGAGCTGGGAGAAAAGTTGCTGAGTGCTTGTGGGGATGTCCTATGTGGTCTGATGGGCGTGAGGAGTTGTGACAAATGTGGGTGTGGCCTAGTGAGCATCTACTGAAAATGCATAATTCGTCTTCAGCAGTTTGACGAAATGTGTGTGGATTTTTCATGGAGGCAGCAAAAGGCAGCATACCTTTAGTAGAGCAGCTCAAGCCCTCATGTCAATTTTTCAAATCTGTTACCCGAAGCTGAAAGGGACACTATTACCTTCTAACGAGTTCGCCAGTGTTTTCTGTTAGTACTGAAAGACAGTGTTTTCACCAGTCTTGTTCTGAAAAACAGCTGAAGTATTTTGGCTGAGGTTTTCTAATCTCTGTCTACTCAGTTCTTTCTACACCCCTCCCTCAGAAGCAACCTCTACAGCACATGGAACAAAATTTAGCCTGAGGCAGACATTCAACTTGGAAAATTTCAACCCAAACAGTCCAAGTCTGGCCAAGTTACAAGCAGCTGAAAGCAGCATCTTGCATTAGAAGTCTTCAGCAACCGCCTAACAGGCAGTGCTACAAGCTTCACCAATACCAGTGTAAGTTTATGTGCTTTTAAGCACACTGCTCAACTGTAATATTAATCAATAGCTTACCCAGTTGACTAATTGGCACCTGGTTGATTTTTTTTTTTTTAATAGACTAAAACTTTTCAGTCAATTGTACAAATGCTTTTACTTACTCGTATTACTCATTGTTGTTTTCCTGGCTGAAAAATTGCAAACTTTAAAATGGAGCCCCTGAAATAAATAAGAAGCTGTGGCTGACTGGTTCTGAATCTTTCAGAATGACTTAACAATTGTTAAAGACCAATTTACAGTAGAAGTGGAGCAAATTGCTTCCCAGAGTTTTGAATTGTAGAAAACCACATCTCCCAAATTCCTAAGCTATTCATCAGCTGTTCAGCTGTAGCAGGCTCACCCTATATTGTGTCCCTGATATATCTATTAACTTTGCAGCGAAGTGTGAGTCGAAAACAATCGTGCCATGGAGTCACTGTGGAATAAATACCACAAACATTGGCAAAGTTGCTTCATAAATCTTAGTTTAGAGAGGAACTTAGGCGTGGCTTTCTTCTGCAGTGAGTGCAGCTGTTTCTTGTGGGGTCCCCCAGGGACTGGGTCTTGGTGCAATGCTGTTGAATACCATTCTATTCACAGTTTTTGCAATGACATCTCATCTTTACCCATAGATGATATACAGGTTTGTACACACAAGATACAGGTTATTCAGTGTACTCCAAATCACATTTTTAACTGGTTCCCATCCAGCAGAATGCGTTGCTCATGCAGCCAGCTACTAAGGAATGAGGAATGCAGTTACACCAGCAGGATGGGAGGCTGTCTGCAAACTGGTAATTTGAAAGAAGGTTTAAGAATTTGTGTGGATAATCATCTCGACAGGAGTTTTCATTGTAATCCTGTCAACGAAGTGTGATCTTTGGCTATACAGCAATAAAAATAGTGCATAGGAATGGGAAGGGACACGGCATGAGTAAGATCACTGGAATTCTGAGTCTGCGTCCGGTGTCGCTGTTCACATGAGGAAGGATGTGAAATATTAGTAGGAGCACAGCAACAAAAGTGTTCCAGGGTTTAAAAAAGAAGCTTTATAATGCAGTTTATCAGTTCA